GAGGTTCCCCCTGGGCGCCCACGCCCCTGGTGGTGGGAGGAGAATTCATGCTTTCCCCCTTCAATCAGGGCTTGGGGGCAGGGGAGTGTGTGAAATCTCCTTCCCTGCCAGGAGCGAGTGGCGCTTTTAAGCAGAGCGGAGGAAGTTTTGCACACTCCTTCCACCCCCAGGCCAATCAGGGCTTGGAGGTGGAGAGCACATGAAGTCTCCTCCCTCCCTGCCAGGAGCACGTGGCACTTCTAAGCTCATGCTTTCCCCCTTCAATCAGGGCTTGGGGGCAGGGGAGTGTGTGAAATCTCCTTCCCTGCCAGGAGCGAGTGGCGCTTTTAAGCAGAGCGGAGGAAGTTTTGCACACTCCTTCCACCCCCAGGCCAATCAGGGCTTGGAGGTGGAGAGCACATGAAGTCTCCTCCCTCCCTGCCAGGAGCACGTGGCACTTCTAAGCGCCGCACGCTCCTGGTAGGGTGGAGGAAACTTTGTGCGCTTCCCCCTGCCCCCAGGTCCTAACTGGCCTGGGGGCGAGCGAGGGGCAGGGCCTTCGTGGGTCAGATCAACCCACTTGGTGGGTCAGATCTGGCCTGCGGAGGTCCCTTTGCCCACCCCTACCCTACAGCATGGGGCAAGGGTCACTTGCAGGTTTAAACTAGGGTAAATGGTGAATTCTCTGTAACTTGAAGCCTTTCAAACAAGGGTGGCCAATAACATGGGCTGGATCCAGTGTGTCAGGTTTAGCTCCTGGCTGGCCACCACCACTATATTTACTGGCACAGCCATAGGTACTGCTGATTGCAGCTCCTGTTGGCCACAGTTTGTTGTTCCCAGCCATGGGTGGCAGATGAAGGCCAAGGTGGGGAAGGCGAGCCCGAGGCCTACCCCTTCCACTCCAGGCCCGACCCTAGAGTCAAGCCCCTCCCCCCCCGCCCAGTCCTTCCTGGCCAGCTCCAGGGCTGGGGCTGCCATTCTGCAGCCCCAAGCCCAATCCTCCCCAGCAGCCAGGGAGCCAGGCTGCTGTGACACTGCCCCAGCCCTCCCCTGCAACTGAGGAGCCGAGCTGCTGCAATGCGGCCCCAGTCCTCTCTAGAAGCAGTGGAAGCCAGACTGCTGTGCCGCGACCCCACAGACTTCCTCGGTGGCTGGAGGGTGTAGGCAACTTTGGAAAGTCCATGCCTTCCCTTGCCTATATTACTGGCCCATATTCCCAGCCAATGGGAGCACCAGGAAGTGGTGCAGACCAGGACACCACTTCCCGCAGCTCCCATTGGCTAGGAATGGTGATCCATGACTGATGGGAGCTGTGAGCGCAGTTACCTGCAGCTGTGCAGGTGAATATAGCATTGTGGGCCCACCAGAAGCTGACCCTGGCAAACTGGATCTGGCCAACAGGCCAATATTTGCCCTCCCTTGCTTAAAACCATGATTTGAGGACTTCAGTAACTCAGCTAAAGATCAGAGATCTACTTCAGGAGTGGGTGAGGCTTTGTGGCTTGAAATATGCAGAAGGCCAGACTAGATGATCATCAGGGTCCCTTCCAGCCTTAAAGTTTACGTACATTAGCATGACAAGTATTACATAATAAATACAACAATGACACTTGTTTTATGCAGCACAAGTTAAAAACTGCTCCATGCTTCAGAAATAACATCTTCTGTCACAAGACATTTCTATAGTTTCCTGCAGTGACCAGTAACATACTGAAGCCACTTAAATTAATATGAAAGGTCAGGTTCTGCAAAAGCTAACTTGCACTTGCTGTTTACATGATTTGGAGACAGAGGGCCAGATCTTGCTCTCCAATCTGGTCCTCAGTACATGTGATCAACAGGACCATATTAGTTCAATAAAATGTAATATGTTACCTGTACAGGCATGCTGGCTGCAGCTAGTATTCTTCTCTCTTCTCTTAAGCAGTTTGAAATGATAACTGCTATGTGCATAGGATTACCATGATATTTTCCCTGCAAACATAAATACATTGTAATGCTAAAATTAAAAGAAATACCAGATTTTCCCTTTGTAAATAATACAAATCTTTATTTTATTATCTACTAACTGTGGCCTTCTATAGGTTTAGGAGATTTCACTAATATTTCCCACTACTGACAACACTGGTTCAGCTATGAACTGGTGTTAACCACAATGGGAGCCCTTATGTAGATGGCCTGCCTGTTAGTGACACTATTTTCAGCATTGTGTCCTTTAGACTTGTTCTGAGCTGGATCAGAGGACAGGGCTGACTTCCACTGATACTAGTGCTGATTCAGCTGACAAGCTGTTAACGGTGGTTTGGGATTTTCGAGAATATGTGTAGTTTCGACTAAGCTGACTTAAAGCACCTGCACAACTTCTTAAAAGACATGTACTGGATACATTCATATGATATTATTTATTCACATCACAGTAGCACCTAAAGGACCCATTCAGAGTCCCATTGTACTAAGTATACACAAGGCACAAATACACAAAGCACGACACAGTCCCTGCTCTGAAGAACTTACATTCTTACAACAGACAAGTCACACAAGTAAGTTTAATGAGGTGGGAGCAAAAGGGGTGGGAGGACAAGGATTACAGTAAAAATCAAAAGGCATCCTAAGTAACTTATTTGTATGTCCAGATAATATGGAGGCTTCTACAGTAGTAGGGGATTTTTCCCCTCTTAAAAACAAATTGTGATTGCATTGCTCACAATAATCTCATAACATATATTACTGAATGTAGATTTGTGCTGCAATGCAGCATCAATTATTGCCATTATTGTAAATATATTACTATAAAGATTATTAAATTATAGCTGTGCGTTATGTAAAACAATGGAACAATTTGACCTTCAAATTAAAACGTATCTAATTTGAGATGGCATTCTTGTCAGCAAATTTTTGATGCACTTTTTATCTGGGTTTCCATTTTCAATCCAGCACATAGCATGCATTTTAGTAAGCAAACTGTATACCACATATCAGCATAGTAACTATGTAAGCAGAAAAGTCCCAGTATATAATAGACGTAACTCTTTTCTCATTTTAGCCAACCTTTATGAACAATTTTCCTTCCAGTGATACATAGAACAAGCAGCTTTTCTCCCAAGACAAGGAGTCCAATTTTCCTCTCATTTACACTAATGTAAACCAGAGGCAGAATCACTATATTTAATGGACTTGAGCTAGTTTAGAACGGTTGTGAGATGAGAATAAGGCCAAAGTGGACCAAATATTATTAAAGATTTTGCTTTCTTTGGAAAACTGGAAAGCTAGTTTTCCTAAAGCAGGGCCTTTTGCAGTCATGTTTTTTGTGCTTTTGTCTTTCTTCTGCCATATTTGTTTACTCTGTGTTTTTCATACTTGTATTATAATGTGTTCAGCACCATTTCTCACACTTTTCCTGAATCAAATACTTAAGTCTCTTTTGCAGTATTTTCCCTTCGCCATCTAATTAAGTTTTCACACTCATTCTGCTTTGTTTCAATTACATATTTTTCTTATTCTTGTTTCTTTTGGTGGGGGAGGGGGGTCTGGCACAATAAGCTTCACATTTCTTAAAACATTTCATGATTTCTTAACCCAGCTGTTCCACTGTTTGACAACAGGGTCAGGATGGGTGTGTGATGGAAGAGTGCATAGACTCATCATGTCTGTTCATATAAATGTGATTGCACAATTGAATTCTTAGGAGTAGCACTAAATGCAAATATATATATAGAAAGAAAGAAAGAAAAGTCCCTTAGTATTTTTGAACGAGTTGTGGATAACTGAAAAGTGTTTTTACTGCATGTGCTGTCTGCAGTTGCAAGGCAGCAGAGTATAACAGAAAGATTGACCTTCAAGAGAAATACAAATAATTTTAATCACTGTGACTGGCTGTTTGATATTACACATTGTGCTGCCCCTAGTGTTGTGTTGCCAGACAGAAACTGAAAGGCACAGGACTTTTGCAGTCAACAGAACAAGGAGTGAAAGGTCACCTATCCTTTGCAGAGAAGCTTTGGCTGTTGTTACACCAGGCAAGTCTCCACTCAAGCACTACACTGGCGCTGCTGCACTGTTGTACAGGGTTGCCAGATGGCTTCAACAAAAATACTGGACACACTTGACATTACATCACAATCTACATTACATCTTATTTAGAAAATACTGGACATTTATATTTTCTCAATTTGTTTCCCAAACAGAAAACTCCAATACTGGACTGTCCTGTTCAAAACCAAACACCTGGCAACCCTAGGCTATGTCTAGACTGTAAGCCTCTTTTGAAAGAGGCTTTTTCTAAAGATACTTTCGAAAAAGCCTCTTTCAATAAAGAGCATCTAGATTACAACTAGTATTTTCGAGAAAGCAAGCCGCTTTTTCCAAGAGAGCACCCAGGCAGTCTGGATGCTCTCTTTTGAAAAAGCAGTTTGCATTACATAGCGCCTTTTTTCAAAAGAGCACTTTCGAAAAAAAGGTGTTCTTCCTGGTAAAACGAGGTTTTCCGTGATCGAAAAAAACTACCGCGTTCTTTCAATTTACTTTTGAAAGAACGCGGCTGCAGTCTAGATGCAGGGTAAGTTTTTTCGAAAAAAAGGCCACTTTAAAAAAAAAATACCCTGTTGTCTAAGCATACCCCTCTGTAGTGTGTCTAGTGAAGATGCACTATGCAGATGGGAGGGCACTCTCCCATAAGCATAATTACTCCATCCCACAAGAGACAGAAGTTATGTCAGTGGGAGACTGTTTCTGGCCGACACAGCACTAGTGTGAACAGGGCTTAGGTTGATGTAATTCATGATGCTCTGGGAGTGTCTTTTTCACACTTGTGAGTGGTGTAAGTTACATTGAAGTGGTAGTGTAGGCCAGTCTTGAGTGTTGAAACAAGGCTTCAGAATTAACCAGCTGAATGTTAAGTAATGTACGTGCTAAAAGAGGTAAAATAAACTTCCCATAGCTGTGCCTCATGCTGTATCTCCTAATGTCCCTTTGGAGTGTTGCTGAAAAGAATGTGACAAGTTCAAAGAGCTGTACTTACCCTCAGAAGCGAATAAAGGGCAAGAGCAAGATTGTGATTTTAAGCACTAGCTTCAGCAAGCTGGTCGTGAAGAACCAGCACCATTCCAGGAGGCACTGCACCTCAGTCACCCTTCTAAAGCACAGCTGCCTTCCTGCCTCCTCCTTGCTGTGGGATGTTATAGTGCACACGTTTAAATGGTAAACCGATCAGCTTGGGCTCATCAGTTAACCTTCATGGTTACACACAAACTCCCCTTCGCCTCCCTCTCCCCCAGTACTGCTGCCTCTGATAAAGCAGCATGGGAGGGAGCAGGCAGGAGCTGGTGCTCGCAGAGAGCCAGCTTTTAAGCAGGCTCCCTGCAAACACCGGTTTCCAGGGAGCCACTTGCCCTCCAGCAGTTACGTTTACCAAAAAAACCAAAAACTAATTTTAACATCCCCAGTGAAGATATAGGGAAAGTGGGTGGGGAAGGTTGTTGTTGGTAATTTACAGCTCTTTCTTGCATCAGCACAGTTGTGTTGGCCAGTGTGTTACAGTAGCAGAGCCAAAGTTCTGCCCATTCCTCAACCCTCCCTGCCCTCTTCTCACCCATTCGCTCTGTAGGAATTAAGGAGAGTTATCAGGGGCACAGTTCCCTGTTAGCTGAGCAGTTGGGTAGCCACCCAAGAGAGATTCCAACACCGCCTTGCTGATTAGCAGTGTGCTCACAGCATCCCACAGCTGCCAGCATGTGTTTTTATTCATGGTGCACATCTGTCAATGTCTTGGTGCACATAAAATTTATTCTGCAAATGGGTAGAAAGACTTACCTCAGGTAGATACAAGGGTACAGATATGGTATAAGGAGGATTCTTACTTCCTTGTATGGGCATGTTGTCAATCTAGCCCTCAGTAATTTCTGAATGAAACTGTGCTGCCACCTTCCATTTACACAAAAGAAGATAAGGGGAATGTGGGACTTCATGTGATCAGGCCTGGGATTTGAGGATATTCTTGTGGAGGAATGAAGCCTCATACTGTTTGACTGAAGTAGTACTTCATGAGGCAAGGGATAAAGATTCAGGGAAATATTGTTCTCATCTGGTGAAAATTAGCACCACTCCCAGTGAACTCAATGGCTAATTTATACCATCTGAGGAACCAGCCCTGAAGATTAATCAGTTAATGCTTGTTGATCGCTTAGCTAGTTCTTTATAATTCTTATCGTATTTCTGCTGATATTCTTAATATATTTCTGCTGATAGCCCCAGCTCCTATGCCTGAGTGCTCTGTGTTGGAGAAGGCTGGCTAGAAGGAGTCTTTGCTGCAATCATGATATCTCCACTGGCACTCTGCAGGTGCACAGCCTGAAGAGTGGCTAGTCTGAATTAATCACCCAGCAACAGCATCCCAACAGCCTACAACAAAATCTTAGGCTACGTCTACATTGGCATGATCTTGCGCAAATACTCTTTAACGCAAGAGTTCTTGCATTAAAGTATTTGCGCAAGAGAGTGTCTGCACTGGCACGTGCCTTTGTGCAAGAGATGTGCTTTTGCGCAAGAGATGTGCTTTTGGCGAGCATCTGTGCCAAAGTAGATGCTCTCTTGTGCAAGAAAGCTCCAATGGCCATTTTAACCATCGGGCTTTCTTGCGCAAGAAATTCATGTTGCCTCTCTACACTAGCCTCTTGAGCAAGAACAGTTGCGCAAGAGGGCTTATTCCTGAGCGGGAGCATCATAGTTCTTGCGCAAGAAGCACTGATTTCACACATGAGAATGTCAGTGTTCTTGCGCAAGAACTCCCCGCCAGTGTAGACAGGAAGCAGGTTTTTGCGCAAAAGCGGCTGCTTTGGCGCAAGATTGCACCAATGTAGACACAGCCTTAGCGTTTAGGCAGCATATTTAATATACCACAGACTTAATCCTGCAGTCAGATAGTCATGGGCAGACAATGCCCATAAAGAGCCTGAAGATGTAAGGATCTGCCCACACAG